TTTTACTGATAGGGGACTGAAATAGAGAGACAAAGCAAGCTAGGCTAGATGGAGATGCCCAGGAAAATTAATAGAGTTAATTTTTAGAGTGGATTAGTTAAACCACAAACAATTCTGTGTAGACATCCATTCAAAACTAAAGCAGCTTTTATTCTATTCAGTGTTATTTTATTCTGAAAGTGAATTAATTTAAATCAAATTGCAGCCAGTTCTGTTGTGAATAAGAGCATGCAAATTGAGGTTCAATACAGTTCACAGTCACTTTTAATTTACACCTTTTGTTAATTTAATTAATTGTCCTGAGTGCCTGAGCTCACATGGGAAGCTGCCAAGGTGCAAAGAGTTAAGGATGAGGCTCTTCAACTTCAGGGTTTGCCCCCTCCAGCAGTCCTTCCTTGGGGTGCTGCTCAACCACCCTCCTTATCACCAGAGGGCACAGCCCTGTGTCCTTGAGCACTCGGAGGCCAGAGGAGGCATCCCTGTCTTTCCCTGTCACCTACGATGTAGTGACAGCTCTCAGGGAGAGCATTTCATGCATTTAAGAGGAGGACGGGACAAACATGCAGCACCTATTGAGTAGGGGCCAGGAGGAAGCACTCGACCCAGGAGGGTGCGTTCATTGACCTCTGTAGGCACCAAAAGCAGCGAAGTAGTGTGACACAGCACAGGGGATGCGGAGTTATGTTTTCAGTGGTCAGCCTAGAAAGCCGAGAGTCAGCTTCAATACTTCAACAAGATCAGATCTGTAGAGGTGTATCTCAGTGATAAACATTAAATGATGTCACTGAGAAAGATCTATAAATACCCACTGCATCTTCTTTCCTTCCTACTTTTTTTTTTTTTTAATCATATTCAGCTTGAAATTGTAGTTTCTTACAGCAAGTCCCTGTGCAATTTCTGTACTTCCCAAAACTTGAGGTAAGCTGGAGCGATCTACTGGGGTGATGGCATCCACCTCAGAGCAGAGCAGTTCTATCAGTATCTACACAGTTATTGTAGAGCTGCAGCAACTGCCCATGGATCAGCCCCTACTTTGACCCTCTGGCAAGAGTCCTACAGCCCACCTAACAGTCAAATACTCCTCCACGATGCAAAAATGTGGGGGATGCTGGGCATCCCCCTCCACTCGTGTGCAGGCACTGTCTAGGCAAAGCCAGATGTTTGAAGGTCTTTCCACCTTTTTTGAGCATATTTCCTTCAGCTTTGTAACACATGGTTTCCTCAGTTCTCTTTCTTCAGTCTGCCAGTCCCTCCCTGGTATGAATTTAGCCAGAAATCATATTAACCTTTTAGTTACAATTACATCAGAGAAAAAAATCAAGAAGGATTTTTTGCTCATTTTCCAGCTTTTCCTGGCAGTTAATGATGAGTCCATCAAGAAAAAAAACAAAACAAAACAAAACAAAACAAAACAGCGGCATATCCGTAGTCCATAAATGTGGATTGTCTTTCCTTACTGTTCTTAGAGCCTCCTAGTAGGAGAAAGTAACTTAAAAGTTATAGAACAGTTCTCCCTAAGAGGTTGCTTACTGAGTGAAGGAAATGGGATGCAAACGTTTAAGAATGAGAGGATAAAGGATAAAAAAAAAAAAAAAAAAAAAACAAACAAAAAAAACCAGCAACTCCAAGACTAAAAGTTTGCGTGCCTTCTGTGTCCAGTAAAGAAACTCGGGACAATCTTGAGTCCCTTTGAAAAGAGCTGCTGGGTAAAACTTCAGCTCCTTGAGGAGGCCACGCTCATTTTTAAGATGCCTCCCGGGGCAGATTCCCCCTTCGCCGGGGGAAAAGCTGCCCGGGCGGCCGCGGGGGGCTCGGCCCGGCTCTCCCCGCCCCGGGGCCGCGGCTTCCCCACGGGGCGCGGCGGGGCGGCCCGGCTCTGCCCCTTCGCGGGGAAAGGGACCGTGGAGCGGGGGAAAGACGCGCTGCTCCGGGCTTCAGCCGCAAGCCTGCGGCGGCTGCTTGCTGCCGGAGGAGCGGGTAATCCCCCCCGCGGCAAATGCTCCGGGGAGCCACGCTTTACGAGGCCACTGGTGAAGGAGACACGCGAGTCGTAGGGCGGATTTTCCACCCGGGACCTAAGCAAAACAAGAGGCTTCGCCCCGCGGCGGCGGCTCCCCGGGCACGGAGGGCCCGCCGCAGCCCCTGCCTGGCCCGTGGGTCGTGGTGCTGGTCCTGCCCGCGGGGAGCCGTGGAGCGCCCACGGAACCCGCACCTGACTCGGCGGGAAGAGCCCGGGACCTGGCGGGGGTGCAAGGGCCTGCCTGCCCAGCTGCGAACCGGCACAGCCGTAACTCCTGCCCCCAAGGAGCAGGTAGATCTAAATAAATTAAAAAATAAATAATAATTTAAAAAAAAAAAAAAATAATCGGGGCAAAATGAAAACAGGAATTGACTGCTAACATTAGGAGCTTTCCGGAGGAGGAACTTCAGCAAGGATGCCAGGAGGATTTAGTAGCCGGATCCGCGACAAACAACGCTGACATAAGCTTTACTCGGGTAGGTAAACACAGGATAGCTCAGGTTTCTTTAAGAGAAAAGCACGGGAGAGTTGTGCCCCGAGGAAAAAAAAAAAAAAAAAAAAAATCGTAAAGCAGCAGGAGCTATTTCCAGAGTGAGCAGAAGTTACAAATCCAGAGGCACTGACGCGTGACATATTAAAGATTTCTGTGCAAAACCCCGAGACAGCTCGGAAACGCACCGATGTCCACGGGTGATTAAAATATTTTAGCGGGGATTCAACCACCCACCCAGGAACCTGTTGCCCCGTTTCGGGAGTGTCTGCAGGCGCATCTAGAGCAGCTGCAGCCCAGGCGAGGTAACACGGGCTTCAGCTCAGCCCTACCAAATCTCGCCCCCCTCTGAAAGGCCGGCTCTGCGGCGGGACAGCGTTTCCCGGCCGCTCCCGGCCCTCGCTGGCCCCCCCCGCCCCGGCTCCTTACAGCACAGATCAACGAAGGAAGTTTTTGTCTTCTTTTTTTTTTTTTTTAATGTTTTTTTAATCTAGAAAACCCCACGCCGAGCGGTAAAACTGCTGAGTCCTCTCCCAGATTTCTAAAGCGCTTGTGCTTCAAACTGCAGTCGGGCGCCGCAGGCTGCTCCTGCTATTCCACTTCTCCTGAAAGGTCCCGCTACTTTTGGGGGGTTTGGTTTTTTTGTGTGTTTTTTGTTTGTTTGTTTGTTTTGTTTTGTTTTGTTGTTGGTTTTGTTTTGGGTTTTGTTTTGGGTTTTTTTTGGTTTGTTTTTTTTTTTTTTTTTTTTTTGGTCAGATCCCATCAAAGGGACCATTGTGGGGAATGAGTCGCAAGTTCCCGGGACCTGCCTTTGCCTTTCCCGCGGGCGCTCACTTCTGTTGTGCCTGAGCAGCCGCGGAGTTTTTAGTAACTCTGCAAACACGGGCATGAAAAGGATGTCCCGGTCGGGCAATGAGGCATGAAATCCCGCTGTTCCTTTACATAGTAGCAACATCCACATGAAAGAGCAAACACCCGACGTGCCACCAAATATAATTGCGTAGATGGAGGGTATTAGCGGAAAAGAAAAAAAAAAAAAAAAAAAAAAAAGCAAGCTGGCGCCGGTTTCCCTTTCGCCACGGCCCCTTTCCCTCACGCACACCCGAAACCAAACCAAACCACCTGTACCTTCAGCAGGATTTAACCGAGTGGAAAACTGAGCCATCGCTCCCCCTCCTCTCTCTCCGGCAGGTGCTGCCGCCGCGCCCCCCGGAGCCCGGGTTGGGCAACCTCAGCCCCGGGCCGGGCAACCTCAGCCCGGGCCGCCGGGCGGGGGGGGTGAGGCGGTCGGTACCGAGCGGTAACCGCTCGGCGGGGGCAGCCCCCCTCGTCGCCCGGCCCGGCTGCAAGTCCTCCGGCTTGCCGAGCGACCCGCGGCTCCCTGTGTCCCCCCGAGGGACAGGAAAACACGGCGGTGCCCAGTGGGGTGCCCGGCGCGGCAGCGCGGCCGACCGGCCCCCGGCCCCTCTCGGCCAGAGTCCCGGCAGCTGGGGCGGGAGAAAAATGTCCCCAGGAAGGTGACAAAGGGGACAGAGAGGGGACAGGAGGGGGGGGTTGGGGGGGGGTGGGGTGGGGAACGACGACGACGACACAGTCACCGAAGGTGGAAGATTAAATTTCTGCGGAGAACGTATCACAGCGAATGTATTTTGTCAGGAATCCGGAATTAGACAGCAAAAGACAAACAAACGGGGGCGGGGGCGGCGGAATCCCAAGCAAAAGCAAAATAAAACCCGCCTGCTAGAGATCCTCCGGTAACCGAGCCGCTAAACGTCTTCCAGGTCCTTCCCAGCCGGGATTATCGCCGCGCTTGGCTCCCGTCCCTGCAAATGCCCGCTACCCCTCGGCGCGCCCGTGGGGGCCCCGCGGGACGGGACGGGACGGAGGGGGCCGCTCGCCCGGCCGGGCCGGGATTTATACTTTTCCCGGGATTTACGCGTTTCCCGGGATTTACACAACCCTCCAAACCCACGCTCGTGTGACCTACAAGACACCCCGCGGCACCCCGGGAGCGGCGGCCGGGGTTGCCCGCCACCGCCGGAGGCTTTGCAGGACGGGAGGGGGGGGGGGGGGCGGCTAATCCGTCTCGGCGATCATGGGGTCCAGGGGCAGCAAGGCCCCCCCCAAATGCGGGGTGGGATAGCGAAACCGCCCCCTGCCCCCCCCCCCGCATGCCCCCGTGGGAGGGCTGGGAACAAGATACCGCTTCTTCCCTCGGCGGACGAGCCCCGGGGATGCCGCGGAGCCCCGCGCCCCCCCCTTGCCTCCGTGCCGAGGGCATCTGACCCGCTCCGCTCCCCGCCCGCCCGGGGCCGGGGGCGGCCGGGCACCCCGCGGGGCGGCCGCCCGCTCCTCCGCGCCGCTCCGCGCCTCCGCGGTGGGCGGCCCCCCCTCCCCGTCACCCCCCGGCGGGGCGGGCCTTGCCGGGGGCGGGCCGTCGGGCTTGAGGCTGTGCCGCGGCGTGGGAAAGCGCCTCAGAGAGGCTTTGCTCTGCCGGCGGTGCGGAGGCGAGCCGAGCTGAGCCGAGCCTTGACGGACACCCCCCCCCCCCCCCCTCCCGCCTTCCCCCCCCCCGGATTTATTTATCTCTGCCCCTATCCCGGCTAGAAGCTGCGCCGCGTCCTGTGCCCACGATGAAGCGACCTTGCGAGGAAACTACCTCAGACAGCGACATGGACGAGACTATAGACGTGGGGAGTGAGAACAACTACTCGGGGTAAGCGGGGGACCCCCGGGACCGCCGTCTCCGCGGGTGGCGGCGGGGGCCGGGATGCCCCCTGGGATGGGGCAGAGCGAGGGGGGGGGGAAACCTCGGCCGCCCCGTCGAGGGTGGGGGGGGGCGAGGGGGGGATCGCGCGGTTTTGTCTCCCCTCTACGTCAATTCAAAGCTTGTTGGTAGCCCCCCCAAGAATTTGCCCCGCGGTCTGGCTGCCCGAGCCCCGAAAATACGCCGAGCACTCAAGTAGCCTGTGACCCCCCCCCCAGGCTGCAGTTTATTAGCTCTGCTTCATTTGCCGTTTCCGATCGGACCTTTTCCCAAATAGCTCCTGAGCAGGCCGAGCAACCGAAGGGAATGGGTGCCGGTGGGAAATGAGCTGTGGGATCCGCAGTAGTCAAATGGCAACTTCACCAGCCCCCGTGGGCGAGCCGCGGTGCGTGCCACGGGAGGGCCGGCCTGGGACCCCCGTGGGTCGGCGCCGGCCGTCAAAGCTGGTCCTGCCAATTTAGAGGCACATGCACTGGAGCACCGTCTCTTCCGCATCAGTGGCTAAATGAGTTTTAAAAGCTACTGGATTTTTTTTCGCTCTCTCATGATGAAAGAAAAGCTTTTTCGTGCTCGTGGGTAGTGTGGTTTTAAAAGTGGATTTTGAATTCTGCTCCTGGCGCAGGACACCGTGACAGACCCGCGCTGGGCAACCGGCTCTGTACTGGAGCATCTACTAACCTGAGCAGCAGCAGGCAGGAATGTCAAAACCTAGCAGGCTCAGCAGAGGCTGTGGCATCAGATACATGTACTTAGCACTGCCGCTAGCATACAGAGGTGGCTGATGCGGTTTTGGACTCAGTTCTTCAGCCTGTATTTGGGAGGCAGGACTTTATATGCAGTGAAAACAAAATCCGCTGTGCCGGACAGTGAACTGTCTCCAGAAAGGGGTTTTATTTCCAACAGAGTGTTCTATCAATTCAAAATATACGCTGGGGCAATCAAAAATGAAATGTCTCTTTTTAAAAGCGGTGTGCAGTGCAAAGCACATCTTCTAAGCATTGAAAAGGGCCTGAGAGGGACTGTGCATACTTAGTATGGTGACCTAAGGTGTCCTCAAAGAGCGGTATCAAGTTGTGCAACACCTGACATACTTTTATTGTTTCACAGGCAAAGTAATAGCTCTGTCATTCGATCAAATTCCCCAACAACAACATCTCAGATTATGGCCAGAAAGAAAAGAAGAGGGGTACGTTGCATTTAATTCTTCTCCTGTGTGACAATTGCATGTGTGCTGTGATTTTGCCCTTCAACATTTTTTATAAACTTAATGTGTTTTGTTTTTTTGAGAATAGATTATAGAGAAAAGGCGCCGTGATCGTATAAATAACAGCTTATCAGAGCTGAGGCGGCTTGTGCCAACTGCTTTTGAAAAACAAGTAAGCCTTTTTTTTTTTTTTGAATTCTGTATCTCATTTGGCAATGTTAGTTCTCCTGTAAAACTCATTAAAATAATATTATATGTGTCCTGATTTGGCACAAAGCAGGCATTTCAATAAAATGCTTTCTTGTGGCAAAACTATTAGAAACATAATTCATTATAAGGCTGAAAAACATTTCCATTCTTTGGCTTGTTTTTCCCTTAAGGGTAACTGTGTTCATGTTGCCTCTGTTCTTTCGATGAATTCCAGTAGTGGTTTTGTTAAAAATGTGCTTTACTCCATATTTAAAAAAAAAAAAAAAAAAACAACAAACCAACAAACCCAACACAACTCCCCCAAACCTTTATGTCAATTAGCCTTCTGTCTAAATCTTTAAATATCATCTCCTTCACCCCTACTTTAAGAAACGTTCATTTTTTTAATCTGTAATTTCAGTTGCAATCTAATCAATCCAGTTTCCTGAAAAGGGAATAGTCTGAATTATTCACATTTTAAAATGACTCTTTAGAACCAGGGCATTAGGAGAGGGAATAGGCCCACGTCATGTGGGCTAGTGAAGTCACTGATACATTCAGAGACTTTCAGTGAGAAAGTATTCAGTGGGAAGGCTGGAAGGATCCAGCTAATTTTGGTTCAGCTCCTTGGTCATGAAATTACAGACTAAAACCTTAGAATACAATCTGTCCTGTAAAAAAGGGCATTTTGTTTATGCTATTCAATTTAAATTTTTATTTACTTTTCCATATCTTGATTTTTAGTTTTTAGGCTTTGATTTAATATTTAGCCTTGTTCCTGTTTTACTGGAGGTACGTGAAGATCTATGGATATGTGAGATTGACACTATGTTTCAATAAAAAGGAACCAACTGAAAATAAAGAACCTGACTTCCTTGTAATAGTAAAAAAAAAAAAAACAAAACAAAACAAAAAAACCCACAGAAAATAAAATTTAGGAGCAGGATTGCAATATTGCGAGGTGCTGAAGATCGGTGGTAACTGCATGGCAAGCACTGCACCATATTAGGCCTGTTACATCTCTGGTCTGAACAAAAGTTAGGAAGAATTTTTAAATACTGTAATCATGGTGAGAGCATCATTTGTGTCACCTGCAATACGTTTTTAATAACTAGTAGTTGTAATTGTGCCCTTCCGTAGGTTCTTGCGAAATGGAGTGCCAGGGGTATTTTGAGCTAGATAAACAGGGGCAAGAGACAACAGTTGTTTGTCCCATTTTATTGTTTACTTCTTGAAAACCACAATCATTATAAAACAAGTCCTACAGAGCCTTTGGAAATTACCCAGCGCCATGCAGTTTTTAGCTATTAGTCACTCTCACTGAGACTGCTTGTACTGTGTCTATGGAAAAGATGAAGTCTGAGAAAAATACAGGATGTAGTCGCATTTAGAATGGGGAATTCTGACCAAAAATTCACACGTGCACCAACCTTTGCACGACGAATGAGCCGAAAGCAGAAAGCGGATTGAAAAAAGCCCACACTGGCGTAAAAACGAGCGCGCGCTGTATTTTGCTCAGAAAGCCCCGCCATTTTTCTGCAATATGCCAAGGACAAAGCCATCAGTCCTTTTCCAGCTCCTTGACATTCAGCTCACTGAAGTTTCCAAGTTGGAGGTTTAGTTTCGCTCCCTCCTCCCTCCCTCCCTCCCTCCCTCCCCAAACCACAGCTCGGCTCTCCCGAGCCCCTCGCAGAGGTGGGCGCTGGGGAGGAGGGTCCCCACACCTCCCCTAACTCGCACCCCCGCAACAGGGTGCAGGACGGCCGGCGGCAGGGAGGCGGCCCCGGGTGATAACGAAGAGAAAAATTTGGCTTGCGGGATGCAATCCGCTGGTGGCTGCAGCTTGTGCAGCCCTGGTTTTAACCCATGCCAAGGGATGATCTCTTGCACTGGAGTAACATTTGGGTGGTAAAATCAGTCGTCTGGGCATACTCCAGGTATTGAAGGGAATTCTACCATGGAAAATAGTTTTATTAATAGATTATTATATTAATACTACATTTTGAGTTGTATTTTATGCTTTTCCAGCACCCACCGTAGGTCTGTTAGCCACCTTCAGTAGCAGAAAAGATTTTTACTGACAGAAGACCTAAACCCTTTTGCAGTATTTAGCTTCATGTCCCTGCAAACTAGGCCTCTCACTGACTGGAAACACTGTGGGCTGTGCGGTTGCTTTTTCAGTCGAGAATGAGAATAGAATACTCAGCAGCCAAATGACATGTTGAAAATTAGCAGGCGATTAAGGAAGAGGGACACTTCTGGGTGTGTGCCCACAGGGACACCTACTGGTAAAAGCAGAAAAAAAATGTTGCACCAGGGTCTTCGTCGATAACTGTGCAGCGGACCTGTCCTGCCCGCTCTCCATTTCTGTTTGCTGTTAAAGTCCACCAAGTCATGTATTTCTCTCACTTCAGGAAGATGTCATGTCTTCACTACCTTCAAGGCCAGAGCTACATTGAACCAGAGACTTAATAAACCAAAACTGTGCTGGTGCTGCTTGTATTGCTCGAGAGGAGACAGCATCAGTCCTTCGACAAAGTCTGGGAGGCAGATGCTCACGAAAGAATTAAGCCGAGAATGTCCTAATGATAGGGAAAATTGAAACCATAAGTCTGAGCTCAGTGGAAAGTATATCAAATTAAAGTTTCTAGTACTTGTAAGCCTTTATTTATATAAGTCTCTTATCTCAAAGGGATCTGCCAAATTAGAAAAAGCAGAAATACTGCAAATGACAGTGGATCATCTGAAGATGTTACAGGCAACGGGAGGTAAAGGTAAGGAGCTGACAGTTTCTCTTCTAATATTTGGGGAAATCTTAGCAAAAAAAAAAAGTGCTTTGAGGAGCTGTGATAGGCGTTTCCAGATTAAAGGAGTGGAAATCAATGCTAATGGCAGGATTGAACTCGTGGGAAAGAACTACTGGGACAAAAGAAGCACTTGACCCTGGGCTTGTGTTTGCTTTCATAACACTGTGGGAGTAAAGGCTTCATTCACAGGCAGCCCAGTCAGAGATTTGTTTGGGGTTTCCAAAGAGCACTGAAATCTGCACAGGGAGACAAAACAAATACACAAACACCAAACATAAACAGGAGGTTTGTGGCAACAATTGTGTGGCAAAAAAACTGCTGCTAAACCTCTTTATCCAGCAGCTATACCGAAGGAAGTGGACAGAGAGGAACTTTCATTATTGTTTACGTATTTTTGTTCTGGAAAGACTTTTAGATGCCAGGTTAGACCGTTTCATTCAGCAGAACAAACCCCAGTCTTGCTCTACGCAGCTCCAGGTATCTGATAAAGCAGACCAGCAGACAGCTAGCAGGGCTCTCTGCACTTGTATTTACACGCTGTATTTGTGTGTCAGAGGGCTGGGGAGCTCCCTGGTAGTGGGTGCCGGCATGACGCAGGGGCTGCACTGGCTGACCCATTAGATCAGCTGGCTGCCGGGAGTCGAGCGTACCTCGCTTGTGCAAGCTGACAGCCCCAAGGCTGGAGGCCAAATGGTTTCAGCCACCCACGAGGTATTCTGTATAGTCATGATTTTGGAACTTATTTGGAGTGAAAAACTTGCTGGCTTCCTGTAAGCACGGCCCTGCGTCCCGTGCCATCAACCGTGGTTGTGGTTCAGATTGGTGTGGTGGAAACCAGCTGATTTTTCAATGACATGTTCTGCCATGCAGGTAAAGGCTAGAAAAGAGGTGGCTGCTGCTCTCTCTCTCCCTTTTTTGATTTAACTCAAAAGTTTTTAGCCCATGACTGAAATACTGCTCTTCTCTGTGTCTTACAGTGAATACAAAATTCAACTTCTAATCAGTACGTGCTTAACAACAAACGCTTACGGGAAAGGCTGGTGCTCCGTTATTTGTGAAAATTAACACCAAGCTGGCATACATATTTTCTAGGTGTTAAGAGGCTTTTGCTAGGAGTCCATTTAAGCTTAAAATTTATGGGTAACTTGTTCTATAAGGGGCGAAAGGAATTTTATTGCCCTTCATATAACGGGACACGCCTCTTGATTCCTCAGAAAATATGCAAAATTAGAAAAAGAAGTTCATTTTTATATCTAAAGACCTCCTTTGTGGAGTTGGTAAAGCCACGGTCTTGACAGTTACGGAACGCCGGAATTATTTGTGCTTGTGCAATTGAAATTCAGATCCCCCCCGTGCGTGCGCGCGCTGGTGCCGTTCTTAACGGCGTGGTTGCGTGCCGGCTTTCCCCAGGCTCCGTCCCGCCGGGTGCGCGGGGAGAGCGGCGCTCAGCCGCTGCGGGAAGCGGTGGCTGTTCCGCTTCACCCTCCCTGCGCGACGTGCGGCTCAGCTATCCCAACCCCATCCCGCTGCACATCGTTCCTCTGGAAAGCTGCAGCAGCTCCCACCCCTCCGACGTCTGCACCGGCAGCGGGAGGGCCGGGAGGCGAACCCGATCAGAGGCCTAATTTAATAGGAACCCTTCCTCCCCTGCCTCCCCGCCCCCCAAAAAGTATGTGGGGGATTATTTTATAACTGGGTCAGGCCAGGCGGCACAGCTAGTGGGGCAGGGGACGAAGCGCCTCGGACGGGAGCTGCTGGGCGAAGGGAGTTGTTGGCAGAGCCCCAGCCTCCGGCTGCGGCCGGACAAGCTGGATTTTGTTGGCAGTCCCAGGTCCTGCGGTCTCTTCCTTGGTCTGCCACCGCCGCCGTGCCTCTCCCTGCCCCGGCGGCCGGAGGGCAGCGCGGGGAAGGATGGAGCGTTGGGGTGCAGGGAGAGACGATGCTGGTTTATCCCCGCAGCCGCCTTCCATGCTGAGCTCCACAGTGGGTGGTACATCAGGATAATGCCCGATCGCCTCACAAACACTACAACTTTATCTTCTTCTGACCCAGATATAAGAGTAATCTCACAGCACAGACTACGAAACTTTAAGAAAAAGAGGTCTGTGAGTTAGTACCAGGCAAAGTTTAAGCCTGCGTTTCCTGCTTGATGTTTTACTTTGCAATCTAAGTAACAGCTTTAAATATAATTTCTTAGGGTGTTTTTAAGGCAGATGTTTGTTTTATTCGCAAATGTAGTTATTCCCACTTTGTAACTCATCTTCCACATCAGAAACTTTTTTAGATCAGCAAAAAAATAAGTTGCATCATTTTTCCTATGGACACAAGCTAATATCGCAGCCGGGAGAAATGGATCCTGATAGCCTTATGCTCCCCTGCACTAGAGGGCCGGGGAGAGCTCATCCTCTCCCTGCTCAGGCAGAAATGGAGGATACCCACAACTGGGGGTAGGCAAGGCTGGGTGGAGTCAGCCACCGCTCAGCATGCTGAGCCCAAGGTGGGCATGATGGAAGAAAACCTGACATGGCTCCTGTCCTTTCTCTGCTTTTCGGAGCTGCTCGGGCAGGCAGGCTGCCGCTTCTGAGGTCCTGTGTGGACTCTGTGTTTCCACGGCCTGATGCAGGTGTGGGCAACGGTTTCCCGTTCACGTTGAGGTATTATTTTGGCCTGGGGCCAGGGCTTTTTGCTGACCATGCAAGCAAGCAAGCACAGTGGAGGAGTAATTTGTCAACAGTGAGTCGCTTGCTGGGACCTCGGTGTGGTTTTCTTGCAGCTTCGCTGCAAATTTAGCTTGCGTGACTGACACCTGGGTCAGCAGCGTGGGTTAATAAAGCTCAAATGACTTAGCCAGTGTCCTGCGTGCAGAGCAGGTTAGTTACCAGGATAGCTGAAGTAAAACTGAGATTTTCCATTCGCTACAAAATGCTGGTGTGTACGCGTGTGAGTGGTGGTGGAGAATGTTCTTGGGATTTGGAAAGAAAGAAGAAACAACAATTTTAAGCCTCTCTCAGAAGGGGTAAGCCAGCAAAGGGGAAACCTGGAAAAGATAACCATCAAAATCAAAACATAATGGAGCCTGGGAGTCTCAGCTCTCATCTCCCCTCTGTTTTCATGTCTCAGCCACCATACGAGACTGAGAAGGAGCCAGGATCACCAGGACTTCGGGATGGCTCGTCACAGAGCCAGCAGCTCAGACTCAGGGGAAGCTGGTGACAACCACATCCCCCCATGTCTCCTCCGGTCCGGAGGGAGGGAGGCCGGGAAGCCCTGGCTTGAGCCGTGCTCTCTCAGGATTTTCAGGCTGGCTGACTCTTGGCCAGAGCCGGGAGGCGGATTTGGCTGTGCGTCAGCCCCTCTGAAGCTGCTGGAGGTCCTGGAGCCTCTACCCTGCTAGCCCACCGTCTCTGGCCTGCCTGGCTTTTGTTTCTCAGGAGCTCACTCAAACCGTGGCATTTCCACAGATCGTTTGGTCGAAGTGGACCTGGCAGGGAAAAAGCTGGGACGAACCAGTGCTTGCTGACACTAGTCCTCGACCCCTCATGCTCACTGATCTGCTGGCCAAGCCAGCGTTTCTCTCGGGTTCCATACAGCCTCAGATGAGCACTGTGGCCCGCAGCAAAGGAACCATCAAAATTTGGCAAGAAGGGGTGTAAAGAGGGCAGGAGATTTAGGGCAACATCTATAAATATGCCCTGGTTAATTCTATAATGCGGGCATGCAGCAACAGAAACATTCATTTCTGGCTTGAAAGTTGATACAAGTGAAAAAGGCCATCTAAGGTGCTAGCATTTTTCAGAAAGACAGAGAATATTCCATGCCAGAGAGTACAAGGCCGAATGTAGGTGTTGCTGCCACATTTCCTCATAATAAGGACACTTGAGTTTTGTATACTAACACACATTATAGTCATGCATACCTAAAAATTTTTACTGGAAGCAAGAGGAAAAAGCACCGTGTCAACTTGAGAGTGGATAGGGTGTTATTCCCCCAAGGAGACTACTTTTAAACTAAAATAGGAAAATTCCAAAAACCGGAGTAGGTTTTTGTGGTTGAAGAGCTGCAACTTAAGCACTAGATTTGATGCTAGACCCTTTTAGTAAGGGAATATCTTTTCATGTGCATTTAATAAGACACTTTTTTTTCAAATCCTTTTTTGTCCCAAGCCTGTGGAGCTCCAGTTGCTGTTTGTTGAAATACCTCATGGGCCATATGACTGTCAGTCTTCCATCTCCAAATTAGCAATGGCATTACATAAAACGTTTTCTCAGTAAAGCTTTTTATTGTGTGTGTGCAGAGTCATGACAAGATGTTTTTAGTTTGTAGTTAAGTAACACCGTATGTCATATTGTCTTAATGACTCTGTGAAGTAGATGGGACCCCGGCAGCAGTTACAACAACTGTCTCACGATGTCAAGAAACAGTTTGAGAGTGTTACGATGAATGCCAGTGTAGGGAAGAAAAGGCAGGGTAGTACATTCAAACTCTCTGATCTTCAGCCTGTTTCTTTGTGTGGATAAATGTCTCGTTCACACACACGTGCAGGATCAATACTGCACTGCAGCAGCTTGCTGAAGAATACCAGGAAAGGCATCGTTTATCTTTTTAAGTATCATGAGTACTTACAGACTTGGTTCTTTTCATTTGTGCATTGTCTGCAAAAGCAACTGCAGCCTATTGCATTACAAGGATGACCACAGAAATCACATACACATCAGAAAACAAACTTTTCAGGTTGCAAATCTCAATCCGTAAATGGGTTAACCTGTAACCTTAACCCGTAAATCTTAACCTTCAAATCTGAACACGGCTGAGCAAGGACCGGATTAGCTGTGTCACCTAACATAGGCTAGGAAACCATCTTGACGCTCAACACGTCTTTTTCCCTCCCCTTGCAGGTTATTTTGACGCTCATTCCCTGGCCATGGATTTCATGAGCATTGGCTTCCGGGAGTGCTTGACAGAAGTTGCGAGGTACCTGACTTCGGTGGAAGGTCTCGACACATCCGACCCCCTGCGCGTCAGGCTCGTGTCTCACCTGAGTACCTGTGCCTCGCAGAGGGAAGCCGCCGCCATGACCTCCTCCATGGCCCACCACCACCACCCCTTGCACCCTCACCACTGGGCAGCCGCCTTTCACCACCTCCCGGCCGCCTTGCTGCAGCCGAACGGACTCCACGCCTCCGACGCCGCCCCGTGCAGACTCTCCTCGGACATGCCACCCCACGGCTCTGCCCTGCTCACCGCCACCTTCGCCCACGCCGACGCCGCCCTCAGAGTCCCCTCCGCTGGCAGCGTCGCTCCCTGCGTCCCTCCTCTCTCCACCTCCCTCTTGTCCCTCTCGGCCACCGTTCACGCCGCAGCGGCCGCGGCTACGGCCGCTGCCCAGAGCTTCCCCCTCTCCTTCACCGGCGCCTTCCCCATGCTTCCCCCCAGCGCGGCCGCCGCCGCCGTGGCGGCAGCGACGGCCATCACACCTCCGCTGGCCGTAACCGCCACCGCCAGCCCCCAGCAGGCTGGCAGCGGGGGCAGCACTAAACCGTACCGGCCCTGGGGGACTGAAGTTGGAGCTTTTTAAATCCCCCCTCTCTCCCTTCTCGGTCTGGCTCCCTCCTCTCCCTCAGCTCCCACACGCGTGCACACACCCCCCCACGTGCCCCCACACACCCGCCGCCGGGACTCAGCCCGGCCGAGCGGCCGCCTTCACCCACAGGGCCCGAGAGGTGCCGGCAAGCCCGCCGGGGAATGGCACAGCTACCCTCCTCGTTCATGGCGTTGGAGAGGACATGGGGTGATTTCTTCTTCTTCTTCTTCTTCTTCTTCTTCTTCTTCTTCTTCTTCTTCTTCTTCTTCTTCTTCTTCTTCCTCTTCTTCTTCTTCTTCTTCTTCTTCTTCTTCTTCTTCTTCTTCTTCTTCTTCTTCTTCTTCTTCTTCTTCTTCTTCTTCTTCTTCTTCTTCTTCTTCTTCTTCTTCTTCTTCTTCTTCTTCTTCTTCTTCTTCTTCTTCTTCTTCTTCTTCTTCTTCTTCTCTTCTTCCTCTTCTTCTTCTTCCTCTTCTTCTTTTTCTTCTTCTTCTTCTCCTTCTTCTCCTCTTCCTCCTCCTCCTCCTCCTCCTCCTCCTCCTCCTCCTCCTCCTCCTCCTCCTCCTCCTCCTCCTCCTCCTCCTCCTCCTCCTCCTCCTCCTCCTCCTCCTCCTCCTCCTCCTCCTCCTTCTTCTTCTTCTTCTTCTTCTTCTTCTTCTTCTTCTCAATTTGTTTTGCTGGAGGTACCCTGAGGGAGCAGCAATGGCTTTCATAACAGCATGACCATATCGGCATGTAGAGGTTTCCTGGGAAATACGTAGACATTAGAACTAATAATTCTCCAGCTATGCGTCCTTGTTTGTCAGAGAGGTGAGGGATTGCACCTACCAGCTCTCTCCAGTCTAGAAAAAGAGTCTGAGTTTCATAAGTGCCTGACATTGAAAAAATAATAAATAAAAATAAAATTATATATATGTGTGTTCTGCTAAAACAAATAACATTGCACAGGTATGGAAATGGTATGGGAGAGAGGCGAAATCCTGCGTTCAACTTCAGACCTGGGATACCTTTCCAGAGAAGAGCGTGCTCTTGAAAAGGAGAGGTTTTTTTAGCCAAAAGATTGCCGAGGAAGAATGTTCAATCTGACAGGCCTCGTTCTCGCTTCTTTAGTTCACTTTCTTTGTACAGACTTGCCAAATTGTGACATCTAGCATAGCATTGGTAAAAGCAATTATCTTATCAGTGCTGGGATTAATGAATGTTTCAGCACTGCCTGTGAGCCTTGAGGCACCCTTTCTTATGGCTTAAATATGGTGCTAGCTCGTATCTGCACAAACAGTGAATTTGTCATGCACCCAGAAGTAACCACCTATTTAAAGTGTGCACACTTGGATACGGTCAGTTGATGCCACTACAAGAGACTCGGTGTTGTAAGAGATCAAATTAACTTATTTAGCTGTATTTGGACATTTACTTTTAGCCGATTCTGTGCAAGATCCCTCTTCTTTATCAGCTTCTGGGAGAACTATCACTCTGGGTATGAATGAAGTTATGGTAGGGACAATTTTTTAATTGGCTATTAACACGCCAACATTGTAATGTGGGTTTGATTCCAAACCAAAATGAATGTATTAAAGGGTATGTGAGTAAATTATTTTGTCAATACCCAGACAACTAGTGCTGCATAAAATGGTTTGCTTTCATTTTTTATTACAGTGACTTAAAATAACCTAAATATTTTAATACATCCAGTCAAGAACTAGAGATTTTATGTAAAAAATAAAACACAGCATGTATTATTATGCACTTGATTTCTCTGCTGTGTGGAGAAAACAATAAGCATTGAGAATGTTAAACATTATGCAAAATATTCTTTAAAATATTTGTTTTAAAAATACTGTACCTAGTCGGTCTTTTATGCATTACTTTGTTAACCTTTTTTCTATGCAAAAGTCTTTACATATCACTAATTAAACGAAGTCCTTTTTGACTGCGTTTTATGGATGATTTGTTGCAGTTTTTGTTTGTTCTTGAGGAATACTTGTGGACTCAAAGCTAGTTTCTGCCCCTGGTAAACAAGCCTGTTGGCTGCTCTGTCCTTTTCTGCTCCCCTCGCTCAGGCAGGAAGCCTGTCTCGTGCAACACACTCTGAAATAGGCAGAAAAAAGCTGTCAGTAAAGCAACATCAGCTTTCAGGCTTGTAAACAGGTTCTGCAGTGGTGATACGCTTAATGATACAAACCCGTCTGTCCATCCTGGAGATCCCCAAAAAACATTGGGGTTTCTAGCTTCAGCTTTCCTTCAGATCTTCACTAGGGGCTTGTGTTTAGAAGGGGAAAATTTTAACCTACTGACATCATTAAATATTTGGATTGCAAGAGGGTAGTTTTTCCCTCCAGTTCTGGTCTTCTAATTTACTAGTTCTCACTGAGGCAAGGGCTTGTTATTATTTCGTCCTAGATCTGCAAAGGCCATCCACAGAAGCTCTATCCATAGGGATAAGCACAAAGTTTTACGTGTCCAAAAGACACAAAAAGATTATTATGCCCAAATAACAGCTGACAAGACTGAGGCATCAGAACAGCACGACCCTGTAGCCAGACAGAGACTTCATCCACAGCTGAAATGCAGCCTCAGCTCAGTGCCTCGCTCCTCATCATCCCTGTCTCCCAAATGTTAAACTTGTAACCCATCCCCTCCTGCATCAGACTGTCTCTGGCTGGAGGGATTGCAATTTGCCTGAACAGCATGCTGTCCCATGGAGAAAACGGACAAAAGATGGGGAGGAAGGATCTCTACCCTTGTGCTGTAAATCATGTTTGATCTTCTTTGAAGTTTTATTTGTTGGGGAATTAGACATTTTTAGATTCAGGACACAAATGCTGCGCTGTTGTACTGGCATGCTCAGCAGCATCTGGTTCAGGTGCTGTTCACTTTCCGTATGAGCAGTTTCAAGAATGAAGATTACATTAGTGAACCGGGCAGGTAGATAAAAAGTGGGCTTTATTTACATGAAAAAGAGCAGGTTGTAACCCAACTTGTCTTTAAGCTGTTAACTATTAACCTGCCCTCTGAGAGTCTGGTAGGTGGTCTTCCTTGTATCAAATCATGTTAAAAATGGGCAGCCACTGACTTAGTTCCACCTAAGGGCAACAGTCTAATTGATGTGCCCCAAAAAATTGCCATTTGTTGCCCCAAATGTGACGTTTTGCCTCATTCTAAAAAAAAAGGAGTTTGAAAAAATATTTCTAAGAGACTGAGTGGATGAAAGCGTAGTTATTTTAGCATCCTGAAACACTGCATCATGGATAGATTTGTGCAGCCTGTGTGTTTGGGTTTATCTCATTTTCACTCTCACAAAACAGGTCAAACTCATGCATGCTGAGTTGCTGAAGTCTCCTCTCTTTTTTCTTGTTTTGTTTTGTTGTCTTTTCTTGTGGTGGTTTGTTTTGTTGTGTTTTTTGTTTTTCGTTTTTTTTTTTTTTTTTTTTTTTTTTAATCAGAATCACCTGAAGGGACCAGCACATGAGGCAGGAGCTCAGCCCTCATGCCTATTTCATCCTGAACCTCTGTTGCGAGTGTTACCTCTGTGAGAGTGGATGAAGATTTCCCAAGTGAGAAATTAATGGAGAAGAAGCATATTCCACATGTGCTGTTGGAAAGACAACAGAGAGTAATAGCTTCTGATGGCTTTGGTTGTAGCTGTGCTAACAGGTCAGAGCTGAAGAAATCTATGCAGGTTTTAAGACAGAGCAAGGGAAAGCTGTTTCCTTGGCATTACCAAGACCCAAAAGGGAGGACTCGTGGCTGCACACATGCAATCATACTTCAGCCCTTTTCTATATTTATTCTGTATTCAGTGATGAATGGACCTAGAGAATAAGGAAAGTTTGTAATTAATATAATTTATGATCATAGCACGTATCATAAGAAAGCAAATCAGGCTGCTTACTCAACAGTATATCTGGCTTTGACTTACTTTTCAAGGGGTGGGTTTGCAACCTTAAATTCCAGTTATCAGGAGGATCAAAGGAGGTTATGCAATTTCCTAGAATGTTTTTCTTAAGAGGAAAAAGCTAAAAACCAATTCTGTCACTCAGCATTACCGAGCTCTAAACCTTAGCCCTCAGCAGTGCAAATAAGAAGCACTTAGGCTGCTGTAACTTTGGGATTGTGTCACACTGCACCGAGAGAAGATTATTACCCTAGAGAGGAGACGGGCTACTGAGAGGCGGTGCTGCCTGTCCTCCCTCTGCTCTGATTGCAACTGGAGGAAATCCGGCATTAGGTGCTGCCCCAGAAGAAAAACCGGCTACTGTGGCTGAGGGCTGAATGCATATATTCAAAGCAGAATAATCGTATCCTGGCTGTGACTACATCTGCCTGAAAAATTGCCAGGAGGTGCCAGTTCATGCTGCTGCCTCCTTAGTGTGAGCCTTCAAACTGTTTGTTTGCAGCTGTTCTGAAAGATGATACTTCAATCAGGATGTCATAAGATAAGTGAAGGACATTTACTGAAGCCTGGGACACGGATATTGGCAAATTCTTAGGGCTACTGTAAATGAGAAATTTCTTCTTCATAATAGAAAAAGGTCACAAGCATCTTTTCATCAGAAGATACTACTTCAGAAAATACTACTGAAGTGTGGACTGTTACCAACTCTGTAGTCACCAGTCTCATTAGTCATCCGCTTTTGTAGGCACAGATAATCTGAGATCACACACATGAAGACCTCAGTGATGTAACACAGGTAGTTTTGTCCAGCTTCAAAGATGAAGAAATTGGTATAGCTTTGTTTGCAAGCTTCAGGTACCCAGCCTCATTTGTGTGAAGCTCTTGCTTGAACCTGAGTGTAATTTTACTCAACACTGTAATTTTTACTTGTGCTATGTTCCTCTGCTTCACCAATTTACACAGCAAAGACTTGTGTTTTGGAAGCTAATATGTAAAGGTCTCAAAAGGGATGACTGCAGCAACACATCTGACTGACCAGAAATGAAGATCAGAGGAGCAAGAGGCTGGTGATAGAAATGCTGGGATCTCAACTTGAGGGTAAACCCAATCTTTCCTCATTTACAAATGAAACAACATTTTGACAGATAATTATTTGAAAAGCAATGTTTTGAGGTTTTTGTTTGTTTGTTTGTTTGGTCAGTTTGTTTCTTTGTTTGTTTGTTTGTTTTGTCTCTGGTAATTGCTACTACTGTGCTATTACTCAAGGTGCTATTAATGTGTAAATACAATCACTTAGCATTCAGTCACCTAAATATTTGCTATGTCCTAAGCTGGGCTCCAGTTATCACTCCGGAAGGTGCAGATCTCCCTTCTGTCCTGTGTCACCTCTGCCAGACCTGTGTAGATGCCTGGAA